AATAATTTTTCCCCTTTTTTGTTAGCAATAGCGCTAACAAAAGAAACATTTCTTCCTGAATAGAAAATTTGTATTTTCTGTTAGAAATCCTTTATTTTGCACACGATACAAGTCTTTCTGTGCAAATTGTAAAGTTTTTATACAAAAATACTGATATTTGATCATGATGATGATGAAAGAAAGTGCTGAAATAAGACACCAAAACTCTTGCAATCTCATTCAACAGGGGGGGAAAAAATCTCTCCTCCTTCTAACCTGCAAGAATGAAATAACTAAATATTGGCATCTCTTTTCAAGAAGACAGCCGATCCTTTTATATAAGTGTCAGTGTTCTAAACAAAACTTAAATTATCTTAGAAGATGGATTATTTTTATTCATTTCTCTGCCGTTCCAAGCGCGAGACTTTGCAGACTTAAGAGCTTTTTAAAACAAAGGGACGTTGATTTCTTACGCAAAAACTGGCCGGACAGCATGGTTCATGTTCCCGTAGGTCGCTCGGCCGAGCAGTTCTCTGAAACAGTTCTCTGCCAGCATGGCCGGGTTCTCTTTTTCTCGTCCTGAAGGCGATGATGGGGGGCAGGTTCGACTGAAAACAAAACCAATCCCCCCTCAGAGGTTACTTAAATATCCCCAAACCATACATATATAATGACATACATTATAAGGTCTATAAACTCATTCTTCAAGTGCCAGCTTGCACTATTCATTGTGTAAAGCAGTGGTTCTTAACCTTGGGTTACTCAAGTGTTTTTGAACTGCAACTCCCAGAAACCCCAGCCAGCACAGCTGGTGGTGAAGGCTTCTGGGAGTTTGAGTCCAAAAACACCTGAGTAACCCAAGGTTAGGAACCACTGGTGTAAAGCAAGGTGAGCAAAATACATCACCTCTGATGTGGCTGGAGTGCAATGTCAGACTTCCGTCTCATTGGCTGGTCTGGCTGGAATGAATGGGAGTTACAGGACAACTACATCTTAAGGGCCCACCGATCATCTAAAACAGTGGCACCCAACCTTGGGTAAAGTAAGTGTTCTTGCAATGCAACTCCCAGAAATTCTGGCCAGCACAGGTAGTGGTGAAGGCTTCTGGGAGTTTGAGTCCAAAAGCACCTGGAGATCCAGATTTGGAAACCACCAGTCTAAAGGACTGTGAGATAGAATAGAATGTTCTATGAATGTTCTTCGTACATGTGCACATTCACTTACTCACACACATACTGTAAATGCATGCACGCACATGCAACAAGGGTCAATCATGATCAAGGTCTTTTGCATTTGGAAATCCTCATTATTTTGCATCAAATTAAACTGTCAACTTGAGGGGAGGCTGTTTTTTTTTTTTTAATGACTGATTTTAAATATCTACTTTGCATCGGTGGAGCGCTGAATAGCCAGCAGCTTCCTCGGTTCTTATGATTTTCGGATAATTATAAGTTTCCAACGCTGGAAAGAGAAGTCAAACGGCTATGCCCCTCCACGGGTCAAAGAAGCTTTTAATACTCTGCCGTTATCCAAAATTACAACCCTAAATCCAAGAGCTTCCACATAAGGTCAGTCGTTTAGAAAGTGTGCGGGAGGCCCATTTACGGAAAGGTTCATTTTATATAATGGGAGATGCAGGTTAACTACTTAGCCTGCATCTGTAAGTGAAGGAATTACAAAGTCTGTGCAACGATTTTACTGTGATTCAGTCTAAATATTAAAACAGATGCATGCAATATTTTACAAAAAGACCTTATGTTCCAATGAGGCTGTGATTTTTCAGCAGAAGGGGAAGGAATTAATCTTTACTATCTTAAAAAGCAGAGACATCACCTTGCCAACAAAAGTCCAAATAGTCAAAGCTATGGTTTTCCCTATAATGATGTACGGAAGTGAGAGCTGGACCATAAAGAAAGCTGACCGCCAAAGAATTGATGCTTTTGAATTGTGGCGCTGGAGGAGGCTCTTGAGACTCCCCTGGACTGCAAGGAGAACAAACCTATCCATTTTGAAGGAAATCAACCCTGAGTGCTCACTGGAAGGACAGATCCTGAAGCTGAGGCTCCAATACTTTGGCCATTTCAAGAGAAGAGAAGACTCCCTGGAAAAGACCCTGATGCTGGGAAAGTGTGAGGGCAAGAGGAGAAGGGAATGACAGAGGACGAGATGGCTGGACAGTGTCATCGAAGCTACCAACATGAATTTGACCCAACTGCGGGAGGCAGTGGAAGACAGGAGGGCCTGGCGTGCTCTGGTCCATGGGGTCCCCAAGAGTCGGACACGACTAAACGACTAAGACTGTGCACAATCTTCACAGTTCCCTCCCCAGCTGATCTTCCCCTTGTATTAGAAAAGATACCCATTCCTCTTCTTTCTCAGGACAAAAAATCCTCAAGATGGGATTTTTGAGATGAGAGCATTTACAGGAATAGAGAAAAACCCTCATATCTTTAGGTGTTCTGGACTTCATGTGCAGAACTTTACCTGGCAGGACAAAGTTCCAAACAGAGTAGTCCTAGAATGAGCTGGAATTTTTAGTATGTACTCATTACTGAAACAGTGACGTCTACGTTGGCTTGGGCATGTTGTGAGAATGGCTGACGGTCGGATTCCAAAAGATCTCCTGTATAGAGAATTAGTGCAGGGAAATCGCCCCAGAGGGAGACCACAGCTGTGATACAAGGACATCTGCACGCAGGATCTGAAGGCCTTAGGAATGGACCTCAACAGATGGGAAAACTTGACACCTGAGCGTTCAGCCTGGAGGCAGGCGGTGCATCATGGCCTCTCCCAATTTGAAGAGACCCTTGTCCAGCAGACCAAGGCAAAGAGGCAGTCCCGAAACCAGCCAACTCAGGGAGGTGGACAGGGGACAGTTTGTATTGGTCTTCAGTGTGGAAGGGATGGTCACTCTTGAATTGGCCTCCTCAGCCGCAGTAGACACTGTTCCATGTCCTCCATACAGAGCACGTCACCAAATCTCTCAAGACTGAAGGATGCCTAATCTGGACTTCAATTCTTAGAAGGCTTGAGCAGCCTGGCCAATGGTAAAAAGCTGTATAAGTTGTCACCCCAAACATGCAGGGACCCAAAGGTTCCCCATATTTCTTTCATAACCTAATATTTCAATTCACCCTGACTCTTCAGGCCAAGAATATGACTCTCAGTTGGAGATAATGCACATCTGTGCCTTTTTTTTAAGTTGGGCTGACCAGCGTGCCAGCTTGTCCTTCATGGGAACAGGCGTTTGGTGGTTTTCCCAACCCTGCCTCATCTGGCAGCCACCCACTCCGCTTCCCAGCCCTGGTTTCTCTGTTCCACCTCTTCTAGGTGGATACTGGAGGGAGGAAGCTGGGCTGGGAAGCGCCAAACCCTTCTTCATTCAAAGGACAAACCGACACGAACCACCAAATCAGATAAGACGACCCTCAATTTTTAGTCTAAAGATTTCAGATAAAAGTAGAGTCTTATACATGGAAAAATACAGTATCTCCACGATATACTGTAGATTTTGATGTTTTGCAAAGGTGTAAATATTTGGGTTTTCGGACTGCAACTGCCTGAACTGGCCATCCTGTCTGAGGAATTCTAAGAGTCAAAATCCAAAAAAACCAAAACAAACAAACAAACAAAACCCCACAAACATACACATCACTAAGAGAGATGGGCGCGAACCACCAATTTGACGATTCGTGCCAGCTTGTCCTTCATTGGGAACAGATGTTTGGTGGTTTTCCCAACCCTGCCTCATCTGGCAGGCACGCACTCCACTTCCCAGCCCTGGTTTCTCTGTTCCACCTCCTCTAGGTGGATGCTGGAGGGAGGAAGCAGGGCTGGGAAGCGCCAAACCCTTCTTTATTCAAAGGAAAAACCGGCACGAACCACCAAATCAGATCACTTAAATACATAAAATCTTAGAAGTCGTCCGTTAAGGTCTTCACATTATATCGTTTGAATGCCACGTCACATGATTATTTATCATTGTAAGAGAACGTATTCCGCACTTCATTCCCCCCCCCCAATTTTTCTGGGGAAAAAAACCCGAAAAACTGCTTTGGAAAAAAAATGGGGGGAAAATGCTTCCCCCCCAAGTTTTCGTTTCTGTGTGTGTGTGCGTTTGCCCTAGGCCTTCCCATCTCTAGTTTGCGCCCATCTCTAATTACTAATATTTAGGTTATCTTATCTATGAGAAACATATTTAATCAGTCCTGTTTATTCGGAGCCAGGAACAGTATTTAAAGAATATACACAGCCCCCTCTTGCTATCACAGACTCCCCCCCCAAAAGGCAAAAGTTTCTTTCTCTTTTAAAATTGGGTGTGGGTTCTTATTCATCTACTAGAGGGTTGTGGATAGTGTTTCCTCCTACGTGAGGCCATCTGTCTGAACCATCTGCTATCTTCCCACTCCTCCAAAGGCACTGCCTCCATATGCGAAAAGTCAAAATATCCAAAATGAGACAAGAAACGTACTGCCTGCATTGTATCAGGGCAACAGATCAAACAATCCATAAGTACTGTTTCCAGACTCTGCGTCATCTATGCAGCCAAGGGGTAGACGGTGCACAACGCGAATAGGCGTTAGCCTTTTGGGTAAACTGGTCTCCTCCAACGTACGAATCCGCAACATCGGTCTTCCCAATTTCAACCATGCATACATATTTTAAACGGGCTGCTGCCCGTGGGAGTCTTAATTGATTTGTTGCCTTGGTTGTTTCTGATCAATCAGTTCATCAGCGACGACATTTCTGCACAGCCTGTATATTTCAGTGGTTGAAGTATTGGAGGCTGGCCTTGGAGATCCTTGTTCTAGTCACAGCTCAGCCACAAAAGAAAACAGTGGCACACATTCTCAGCCTCCCCTGTTGCCAGACGAAAAAGGGTGGAAGGGAGCCACGCATAGCTCCCAGGGCTCAAAGGCAAGATATAAACCAAAACAACTAATAATCATGTGCCACCATTTCAATTCTGACTTATGGCGACCCTTTCCAGGGCTTTCCAGGGAGAGAATGCTCACTAGTGGTTTACCCTTCCCTTCCTCTAGGGGGCGCCCTGGTACTGCGCAGCTGGCCCAAGGCTACACAGGCTGATTCTACTCACAGGAGGCCTTGCAGGGAATCGAACTTCCAACCTCTAGTTCTATAGCCAGATACCTAAAACACTGAGCTATCCAGCCAGTCACCAATTAAATAGATAAAAATATATATTTCTATATGAATAAAATATCTGTCATAAAGAAAGAGTGTTCTTCTTCATGTTTTTCTTTTAATGCACCCACGTGGAAGTCATCTCAGAAGAAATGAAATTCGCTTTCCAGGAAGATCTCTTCATAAATTTGTAAACACACTCCCTTTACAGAATAGAGGATACTGTTTCGGAAATATCAGTTGAAATTCTCTCTTTGAATTCCCAGCCCTGGTTGTGAGATAACAGGATGTCTGTTTTGCCCTGGAATCGCTCTTCAAAAACGTCCCATTTCTTGTTCCTGTGGCAACGAGCCATGTAAGAGCATGACTAGGCCTCAATTCGCCTGTCAGGCCAAATTTCTGTGTCTGCTCTGAGTTGGATGGAAAGGAAACACCATCACCAAAACAAAGAATCCACTCTCCGAATAAAGTTGTAGGTGTCGCTTGTCCCAGCTCCTGCCAACCTAGCAGTTCGAAAGCATACAAATGCGAGTAGGTAGATAGGTACCACCTCGGTGGGAAGGTAATGGCATTCCGTGTCTAGTCGTGCTGGCCACGTGATCACGGAAACTGTCTACGGACAAACGCTGGCTCTATGGGCTGGAGATGGGGATGAGCACCACGCCCTAGAGTCGGACATGAGTGGACTAAATGTCAAGGGGAACCTTTACCTTTTTATGGCTGTTCATAGCCTCTGCCTGGACCTTAATACAGTCTAAGGCAGTCTTCACTTTCCTAGTTGGCTATCAGCTTTATGGGAGCCAGGAATTATGGGAGAAGTAGGTCCAATCCGTTTCTGGGACATCGGATGTTAGGGAAGGGTGCTCTAAGTTTACATGGCATTGTTGGCAGTTGTGAATGGTAAAACGAATATATCTTATTTCTTGAATATATTAACATTGATTTTTTGGGGGGGGGTGCGGGAAAAGGACCACCATGAGCATGTATGTAATCACCTGTCAACATCCTCAATCTTGTGCATATTGAACAGGAGGGAGGGGACGATCTTGTCCATATGCTGAGGTTCCCAGACAATCGCTTGCAGCTCATCGTTGACGGTTTTGCGGACCACCCCCTGGATACCTCTAATCCCAGCAATCCGGATCCTAAAGAAACAGGAGGAAACAAACATCAAGAAAATGGTGATGGCCCAAATCAGTTGAGACACCAGACACTCCAAGCTGGGAAAAGTTAGTTTTGGGGAACTACAGGGGCTAGGTTGAGGAAAGCTGTAGACCAAAATAAGTTCAATTGCCCCAAACTCTGATTCTGCTGTATAGGTAAACAGCGTACAGTTTATATGGTATGACATGGCCTATAAAGATGGTTTATGCTATTTACATGGTGACCTGTGGACTTTTTATTCTGACCGGGGAATTCTGGAGGTTGGTGTCCAAACAACACCGACATGCTCCTCTCCATTTATTTATTAAAAGGAACGAGACTTGCCTTTTCTACCCACCCTGCTCTCCGAGCCACGCACCATAACCTCTTGTACAGCAGAAACACAAAAATCAAGATGTTCTTCAACAGCACACCAGAAACAGGATAAAAGGCAAAGCCTAGTGAAATAATTCAGCTTGCATTACGGTTAAAAGCTCAATAGGGACCAAGCCAACGTGATGCCCTTATGCCGGGAGTTAATGTGGATGAGGCCATCTGTCAAATATTTTGGTCCCAAGCCGTTAAATAATATACAGCAGGACGGCTATTTCTGTGGGAACAGTATCCACGGTTTCACTGATCCACTGCCGGAAAATATTAACTTGAAAAATCCCAGAAATACACATTTCCAAGGTGTATTACCAGAAATGGCCTCTAGAGGGAACCAGAGATGATGTATATATAGGGTTTCTCTATCCATGCTTTCTGCATCTGCATATAAAGTGGACACCATGGTCCTATGGTATAGACCGGCATCTTGAATAGGGTTCAGAAACAAACTGGAAGCCAACATTGTTAACCCAAGGGTTCCTAAAGCGCACCCTAGACAACAGCCTACCTGAATTGAAAAGTCTGTAAGTCGAGCCGTCTGTAAGTCGAGGGTCCACTGTACACTAGAATAGTGTATGCTTCTCCTTTTATTTTGTCTAGAGAAGTATGCCATCTTATAAGCCTATAACTGCAAAGATGGTACATCTCCAGATGCAGGTTTACGGCTTTATGATTGGAAACTGGGCCCACTATACTCCAATACATTCTATAATGGATCAGCCACCGATGATTAACGACTGTATTCTGTTCCTTCGGCCCCCAGATGTTCTTGGATTGCAACTCCCAGAAATCGTGGTCAGCACAGCTAGTGGTGAAAACATCTGGGAGTTTTAGTCCAAGAACATCTGAGGACCCAGGGTCGGGAACCAATGATCTAAGAGATACATTCGACTTGCTGATTGTGACCCCCCAACAAGCACCATAGCCTTTGAGGTGCAAATGGAGGAAAGTGCTCTTTTCATACATATGTGGGATATTTTATGTGAAACAGTCCTCTGCATCGGCGGTCCCATTTTCAGCAGCCATCTTCTCAGGCCTTCCTTTGGTGCATCTATCTTCTGAAGGGTAGCAGACAAGGACCATGGGAGGACCCTCCAGGATATCACCCTCTGGAAGATTCTTCTGATGTTGTCTTTTAGAACTTGCTCATGTTCCTACGTTATAGCATCCAGTTAAACCACAGAAGTTGTGCAGTCCTTTCTAATGTATTTATCATGCCATCATAATGGCTATTTACTGATTTTTAACTTGTTGTTATCCAGCCTGAGAACATTTGTGTTGGAAACTGTGAGATAGAAATGTCTTCCCTGAAAAAAAATCAACAGCACTGGAATGCTCTCTCTCTCTCAGTATTCTCCAGAGCTGTTGGATTCAGACAGACAAGTAAACAAGCCCCAAGAAAAGTCTTCCATCGTTTGTGTGATTTTATGCACAACGAATACATCTTTTCACCAGAGGGAGCTAAAGACCAGAGAATATTATTATAATGACAAAACCACAGTGCATGTGTGCAACATCTTCTGGTGTCGTTGTTTGCCGTTTGTCTACCGTGGCTTACTTTTACATCAGTTTGTTTGGAGAATGCCACTGTCACAGATAAAAAATGCAGTTTAAAACCAAATAAAAATACAGTGGTGCCTCGCTTAACGGGTGCCCCGTTTAATGACAAATCCGCATAGCGATGAAGATTTTGAAAATGCACCTCTGAAAGCCCCGCTTGTCGCAGGGGGGCACGAGGGAG